ACTAAAATGAAAATTAATTACTAGTCACTGCCCGGCGATCGCTGTAAGTTGTTCGTTTGGTAGATGTATTAATCCGATTAAGAGAACCCTTTGCTTAGCCCTTTGAGGCCGACTGAAGTTATAAAAAGCGCTGCCGAGGGATCCTGAGGGACGGAATATTAAATCAGTCGTAAGAAGCGACCCAAATTGCATTTCTCGGAGAGATGGAGGCTGAACGAGAGGGATTCTGCTGTGCTCGAGGGAGAATTTTTAGGTTAGAAGTACCTAGAATCGTTGTTTTTATTATAGTTGGCAATTAGAATATTTTCTAGTGGCAGAACTTAAAGAGAAAAAAGTTAGGTTAGGTTTTCTAAGACTTTTAGGTTAAGAGTTCTCTTAATTAGAATATTTTCTAGTGACAGAACTTTAAGAGAAAAAAGTTAGGTTAGGTTTTTTAAGACTTTTAGGTTAAGAATTCTCCTGATTATAATTTTGTTTCGTTACTGTGAACCAACAGACAAAATTGAGGAGAATGTTATCCGAGTGATTTTTAGGTTAGTAATTCTCGAAATGGTCGTTTTTATTATTTCTCGCGTATCAAAATCGAAGGATCTCGAATGCATTGTGGCGAGAACGGTCAGCAGAGGTTAGGTTTTTACATGTAGGGGGCGATGCTGATGGGGGAAATTATGCAGCTCACTGGGACAAATCCAAGCGTCACGGATCGTAAACGGATCAGTGTAATTTACGATCGCGAACGCGTCTAATTCCGATCGCACCTGTTCGATCAATGGAACGATTGATTTATCGAGGTTCGTGTAAGAGTAGAATGGACCACACAGACGATAATAAACCGAACCATTGTTCGGAGGGTGGAAATCGCAGGATATACCTAGGTCGGGGCAATTTGATTTATTATTCCCACGAAAATTTATTTTTTTTGCATATTTCTTCGTTGAAAATGAAAAATAGCTCGGCCATAATAGCACAATAGCTCGAAATCTCTAATAAAGACATTATTACTGTTACTATTATTTCACTGAAAATAAAACGAACCATTTGAAGAAATCTTCTTTCAACGTAAATCTGATGGAAGATAAGCGTAGATGTTGGGATCTCAGATTGTCCTAAGTTTGTAACACGGTCGGAACCTTTTGCTATTTTTGA